ATATTATATCTTGTTACACTTCACTATAAATTACGCTTACATAACTTAAATACTTCTAAAGTATTTGAAACGTGAAAATTAGTTTAGATTTTGATTAAATTCGTATTATTTAAAAAAACCTTAAGATTTAGGTATTATAAACCTTATTAAAACAGACACTTATTTTGTTCAGCGAATTCGAAAATGTAATAATATACAGGACATTCCATTAAAAAAAACGCAACTTTGATACCTTTAGAGCCTTTGGGACACCCTGTACATTACAAAAATATTTTTTAAATGGGCGCTCGATAGGCGTCGCACAATTCATAAAATAATACTTTTTAAAAATCAAACGGTTTAGCCGCACTTCCGTGCCGTATAGCGTGAATAACCCTGTATATGTAGCTTAATTGGGCTGTTCGCCATGGCTTCGCTTGACTATAAAACATAATGAACCCACAAAGCGTCCACACTGACGATGGCTTTATAAAAGCCCCGATTTCCTATAATGTTTATCTCCTTGAGAAAGGCCAATTTCGTCATAAAATTAATCTCCTTCATTCCAATAATGTGCAAAAAAGTGTTTTTTTGCGGAAAAAGTGTCTACACCCTTCATTGGCGACGCTTAAAGTGCGTTTCTTGATAACATTTACTCTTGCTCCAGATGCGTAATAAATTTAATGGAAATGGAGCGGGAACGAACGTACAATTTATGGCAGGAGCTGGAAGACGGCGCCGGATCGCTCCATTTATTACTCACCATTAGTGGCACCACGGCATCCGAGACTATTTCCGACTTGACCACCTACGAGCAAAACTACAGGGAGAAGGAGAACCTTCTGAATCGATATGTGAGCGTCCCTGCTGATTTATTGGCGAAAAAATGTATTAACCTGCTTCCAATTCGCTTCAGGTCTGGCATCGGACATTTCACAATCTCAAAGACGTGGGCCATCTCACTGTTAAAGTCTTCAAAGCGAACGGCCTAGCGGCCGCTGATATCGGTGGCAAAAGCGACCCATTTTGCGTATTGGAGCTGGGAAATGCCCGTCTTCAGACCCAAACCGAGTACAAGACCCTCACGCCGCAATGGAACAAGATTTTCACTTTTAACGTGAAGGATATCAATAATGTGCTGGAAATCATCGTTTTCGACGAAGATCGTGATCACAAAGTGGAGTTTCTTGGTAAGTGTCTAGTTAAATTTGCAACAGCGGCTAACTGCGCGGGTTGGCTCCAGGCAAAGTCGCGATCCCTCTGTTGCGAATCCGCAACGGGGAAAAACGTTGGTACGCCCTCAAGGACAAAAAGCTACGCAGCAGAGCGAAAGGAAACTCGCCGCAGATTTTATTGGAGTTGAGTATCATTTGGAACCCGATAAGGGCGTGCATTCGCACCCTGAACCCCAAAGAGGAGAAGTTCATGCAGACCGAAATGAAGTTTAAGCGGCAGGTTTTTGTACGCAACGTGCTCCGTTTGAAGGTGTTTTTGATGCACTTTTTGGAAATCGGCAAATTCTTCCAGTAAGTGAACATTTGGATTCGGGTTGTGCAATCAGTCCTATCCCCGTTTCTTAGCGAGTTTTTGTAGCAAAACAACCACGGTTGTCATGGAAACCTACGAAAAATCCTCTAGGGATAGGTCTGTGCGCATTATAGGCCGCTTGATTTTATAAATTGTTGAAGATGAGGGTCAGACTGGGGATTTTTCAGGGATTGTTTCGAGTGGGAGTCAACTGTTCAAAGCTTCGCCGCTCTTGTGGTCTGGCTGATCTTGTGCTACTACTTCCAGCCCTGGATGTTGCCAGTTGGCGGCCTGCTGATTTTCCTCAAACAGTACGTGATTTGCCAGTTATCCGGCACCCCCCAAGTGCCGTGGGACGAACTTGCCGACTCGGATATCGACGAAGAAGACGAAGATGACAAGGTGAGGGTTTTTACGTCGGAATGCCCGAAGGTTCTTCTAGTAAAGCGTTCACATTGCTACAGGAAAAGGAGGAAAAGAAAAGCTTGAAGGAGCGACTGCTGGCCATCCAGGAAGTGACCCAAGGGGTGCAAAACGCAATAGGGAAAATTGCCTCACTGCTCGAGAGCATTAAAAAGTACTGATTTTCCCAGTGAGGTCTGAAGAATAATGTTGAAAAGTTCACATTTTCCAGCATGTTCAATTTCGCCGTTCCCTATCTGTCTTGGATAGCGATTTCCTTGCTGCTAATCGCCACCTGTGTACTTTATCTGATCCCCATCAAGTACCTGCTGATGCTGTGGGCGACCAACAAGTTTCTGAGGCGCATTTTCCGGCCTCATGTGGTTCCAAACAACGAAGTCCTCGACTTGCTCTCCCGCATCCCCGACGACGAGATGCTGGTGAGTGACGGCATGTTATTGCTTCTAGTGACTTGATTTGTTGGAAATTTTCATCGGTTTTGCCATTAAACTGGGTTGATTGGCTCAGCTTGCCATGTGTATTCTTTTTTGTACTTCACGCGAAGAGTTTGTACTTCACGGGCCGTTGGTGCATTCACTTTTGTTTCACCTGCGCATTTTGTGTTAGTTTTTGGCAAGTTTGTGTCCTGCTTGCATCCGGCTGCACTAGTGTAGCAAATTCACTTTATATTCTTTGGTTACACTTTAGGTTAGTAGATGTTTTAGTCTCATTTGTGCAGTGTGTGGTAAGTCTTACACTGCGACTCATGCATTTATGTAAAGTCGATGGTTTAGTAGAGTTACCTATTTAAAATGTTGAGCCCTACATTGTTGCCTTCACTTCAATTTCACATAAAGCAAACCAGTCGACTTTATACCTACATATGTATGTGTATGTATATCTGAGTGCTTGGTAGCAAAAATTGTAAATCTGCCGGTGTCGAATCCGCAAAGTGCCTCTAACCCAAACCGCCCCCTCAAACTAACAAACTGGTGATGAATCAGCCCCATCAAGCGCCATCGTCATCAACTGTCCCATGGGAGAAGAATGCGATTAAACTAAAGAGCGCCGAATAACAGATTCATGACACCCGCAGACGTACATAAAATTATTGGGCGTGAGCCTGTCCACCCATCTGGGCCGACTCTCAGTCATACGCTGGTACTTGCAGCTGGACTACAAGGACCTGAAGCTGCTCTCTAGTCCAGATAGCGCTGACCGACGTCCCCACCCCAAGAAGAAGCACAAAGCTTCCTAGTGGAGCGACAAGGTGCTGGCGAACTTCCGCGATCGGTGGAAAGTCACATTTGAGAGGAGTCTTGATAAGTCTGATTAGTTTTATTCGGTTCTTGGTCGATTATTGGCGATCGGCCATTGTTTGCAATGGGAGGTCGATTGCTGATTGTCGGGAAAATATCAAATTTCTTGTATTATATAAGTGGGAACCTCAAAAAAATTTCTACACTATGGGAAACAACGAGTCTTTCGAGATTTGTCGTTCACTGTGTTGGTGGCTTTTTTGCGATTCCTCCCTGTTTGTGATAAATAGGAGTTTAACTCGGTGTTGGGTTGTTTAGGGCCCTTTCCAGCCCACTATCCCAGGGACAAATTGACTAAGTGAATAACGTTACTAGTTCCATTTCATTCACAGTTCGAACTCTTTCAATGGCACTTTTTGAGGTGTTGCGACTACCATTTGCACGTATTTAATCATCCAAATACTATGGTGATCTACCATGTCCCTTTAGTCCAAATTTAACCAGAAATAGTCCAACAGCATTGTAGATCACCCGGTTTAATTAAAACAGTTGTGACAGTCAGTCAATGTTTTCATATTTATATCAAGTAGAAACTAAGAAACCTTCTTTGCGTTTAAGCTATTGGTGGATATAACAACAATTTTCTCTTGCTAGTTTTCCAATTGGTGCTTGACTTTTTAGGTATAAGGATACATAGTTTTTACTGAAGGTTTGCGGTTGAAGCGCAAGCGAGCGGAACAAGGCCAGTGCGTTAATGCCTGCATCGGAGTGAGAAGGAGAATCCCCTCATGTCCCGTTCTATCACAGGCGTTGCACGCCTTGCCTTGTCGCACTCGCTTATTCTTCAACTACCAAACTTGTTTTGAGCAGCTCCGTTGAATTGATTCCATAACTCTTAGCTTTACGTTGTTTTGTCTTGCCCGTAAATTGTTACTGTAAATAAAATATTTATAAATAAAATGATCGCCGTCTTTAAAGCGCATAAAGCACTCATATTAATGCACAGCGTGATTTTTCCTAATGTAAATTGCCAATTATCAAAGTGATATCGATGTAAGATTTCTAATAAACTTATGTACATAACTCAAAGTTGGTCACTTTATTTGGAGGCTCGGGATAGAAAAACCGCTCAATTAACATCCAAATATACGCCATTTTATTGAATAGCACTAACAAATGATTCAAAAAAACTATAATACAAAACACTACCAGTCACTACTTACATTTTCCTTTATACACAACAAATACGGTTCAAATCAAGCCGGGTACTTCCTACCTGAAAGGGTTTAGGTAATTACAAAGTGAGGCCGAAAGAAGTTTCAGAGCGGTGCCATCTAACTAAGTGTTCCTATTTACAAATTGTTAGCAATCAGGCAGATTTTATTTTATTTTTTAAAATACGAATCAGTACCACCAAAACTCGTTCAAGCCATAAAACAAAAACTAACGAATCAGCCCTACAGTCTTAGATTAAGTTTTAAGGAACGTTTTGGGTTAATGCTGGTGAATGTACAGGATAGTTTAAGAGTGCGGTTTATACAATTTTCACTGCGAATCGTTGGTTGATTTAACGTTAAGTTGGGCGGAAAATTTAACAGTTTTCAACCAAACCACCCAGTAGTTCGAGCGCAATTCTAGAAACAAATGCGAGCGATTTTTACCAGCTACTTCCAGCTGGTTTCGCTTAATATGGTAGTCCTAAGGGGCAGCAGAAAGGATATGCTTTAGTGATATAAACGTTTGTTTTTAACAGTCTTATAATCAAGGGCGGATCCAGCTCGATCGAAGCTTTTCATTTACCATCGAAAAGTCTTTTCCGCTTCATGACTGGAGTGTCTCCATCCAGGAATCCATAGCTCGAAAAATATTCAGATTTCTAATTTTTGTTACACGACTTGCCACCAATATTTTAGCATGTTTGGACTTTTGAACTCGCACGTGTGAGCATTTTTCATAGTCCCAGTGGATCGGTGTCTGAAACAGTGGAGCATTTTCAAAATACTCAGATTTCGAACTTTTATTACATCACTTTCTACCATTATTTTAGCCTTAAGTACCCTTAAAAATTTCCTAACGCATTTCCGAACACCCGGTATAGTGTTTTTTTATTAGCTACCGTTACCCAGAAAACCCGTAAGTTGACATTTACATTTGACATTTGATTTGACATAAATAAATCGTAGTCGCGAGGTACCGATTGGTTCGGTAAAACCCGATTTGTAATTGCTTTTTTCTCTTTCCACCTCAGAGCCTTTTATGTCTTCGCCTTGTTGCACTCATTGGAATTCTGCGCAGAAAACTTTAGCTGCCACACGTACTCGGCCAGGTGGCAACTTGCTAGAAAACTCAGTCTCAAACTTGCTCTCAATTGTCTAGCCATTTGTTTCTGGAAGAGCGTTGCGATTAAATTAACCAGCCGATTCACCGTAACTGATGTGAACGTTGAAAACGAACATTTTCGAATTGTTAGTGCGTTATTTCTTTAAATATGTTACAACCTTAACCACTAAATAAATTGACCTAGACCGTCCTAGAGAGAAGTGAGAATTTTAGTTGAAAGTTGGGAACGTTACACACTAATGGCTTTAATAACAAAACGCTTTATATTATCCCCCATAGTCTTCTATATCCGTCTTATTGGTTATTTCTCTAAAAATAGGTGGAATTTATAGCTAGTGTTGGTGTGTAGCAATAAGGGCCGAAGCACCCACGTCCAATCGACTCCCCAGTGTGTACACAATGAAACGAAGCAATTAGAAAAACCTAACAATTAAAATATCACTTTGCTCTAAACAAATAACCCGCCCGCACAAGACGCGCTCGGATTGGCTCGGAGTCACCAAAGTACCACACCTCCCACCCCCGCCCCGCTTACACGTACCACTCTTTGATGTCTTTACTGTCCCGTTTCTTCTGTTTCTGTTGCATCTGCGCCTTGTCGCCGTTCCGCAGCGCCCCATTGAGCTGGTACTGGGCCTGGCTAGTGGTGCTGGATGCGGTGTTGCCGAGCAGTGCAGCGCCAGGCCCATGCGGGTACTCTTTGCTATCATCCACCTTAAACGATCGATCGTTGCGCCACTTGAACTTCACAATGACCAAAATGACCAGCACCACTGCGATCAAGGCACCAGCGATGATGCCGATGATCAGAGCCACCGCTTCCGATTCCTCTGAGTTGATCCTCTGGGTGGGGGGCACTCTGCTATGGATACCGGGGATGTAGATGTTGTCGGGGGGCAAGAAGTCGGGGGGCTGTCGCGGACTGGGCATCTCAGTCTGAGCGGTGTCGGTGGTGGGGTTGGGAATGGAGCTGGAGGGGATGGTCGTGAGCAGCCCCATGGTGGGACTCATTCCTCCAGGCTCCGTAGAGCTGAGATTTGGGTAGGTGCCAGTGGTGTGTGGAGCCGCGATTGTGGTAGGGTCTGGTTCGATGGTGGTTACTGTAGTGGCCGCTACTGTGGTGTAGTCGGTTGTGTCCGGGAAAATTCCTGTAATGGGAAAAACCGCCAAGTTCCCACCTTGGTCAACGGGCGCTGTGCACGAACCTGTCGGCCGGCTTGTGAAGGGTTCCTCGGTGATTTCGCCCGATCCGGATCCTTCCGCGCAGTCCTCATCGTCGCACGGAGTTGGGCTGAGCGTGAGGTTCTTCGGCTTGGCGGTGGGGGGAGGCCGCGTGGGCGGAATATAAACCGGAGTGATCAGATCATCGTCACCGGAACCGACGTCGGGCAGCGGCGGGCATTCGTCCTCATCGTCACCGTTGCACCCGGAACCGGCGCCACTGAAAATCAGATCGTCCTCCACTCCTGGAAAACCCGATGCTGGCGTCTGCAATTCAAAATACATTGAACCAAAGCAGGGTGCAAGACAAGAACAATGCTGTATGCCTTGTACATTGTAGGAGTAAAAATCATTTGCAAAGACGTGAATTTTGAAACCAACCGAACAAAGTGTTGTATCACTGAAATCGCAATAAATTGCTATTTAATAAACGTATAATCAAATAGGGTTGCTATTAAAACAACACACGTTTATGTCATATGTCAAAAATGACAGTTACTTTGTAAAAATGTCTTATGTCATTTTATTTCAAATGTAATTTTGTAATATTTTCTATTTTAACGATTTCTGGAGAGATTAATATTAAATGATGTTGTGGTTAATTAGTGACCGTGATGATAATCAGTAATTATTTAGGTTTGTCGGTTTTCCGGTCAATAGATGGATGATGATAGATGTCAATAAAACACTACCCAGATAGCATTTGATATTCTATGAATATCTCAGAATGTTCAAAAAATATACAGAACATTGCGG